GGTAGCAGGCACCTATAATCGCAGCTACTCAGGAGGCTGAGGCAGGAGAATCTGAACCTGGGAGGTGGAGGTTGCAGTGAGCCAAGATCATGCCACTGCACTCCAGCCTGAGTGACAGAGCGAGACTCCATCTCAAAAAACAAGACTTTGCCATACCCTTGTGCAAGACATAGCTACTTGAAGCAGCTAGGACGGGCCTATAAGTCAAATTTACACCAGTGGTTTCTCCTCCTAGAGGGCCCTATTGCTTGGGACTGGATTTACCCTCACAAGCAGGAACTGGGCTTTAATTAAATGGTGGAGTGGAGAGCATCTCTCTGAGCCCAGTGGTCCTTAGTTACTAAGGAGGAGTCCTCCTTAGGAACCAATTTCCAGGATGGGAGGACTTCAGGTATAATCCTCTGGGGAGGTCTCAGGATAGTCCCCTTTCCTAAGGGACAGCTCTTCTCTCAGTCAGGTCCTGGTGGGGAGGAGGCTATTCTCTGGCCTCAGTTCAAGGCCAGCAGGTCAGAGACTGGCCACAGCCATTGAAACCACTTAGACCTCACTATTGTTTGCCAAGGATGGATGAGGTTGCCTTGGCAACCAGGTCAGAAGGCCCCAGCTCTGGGAGGATTTTATGGGACACCAAACCCCATCACCAGGGCACCAAGATTTCCTTAGCAACCAAGATCTGGAAAGGCGATGTGCAGGGCAGTGCTTTTCAACGGGAGAAGCCCTCAGACCATGAAGGCCTCGTTGCTAGGGAACAAGCATCCTTAGCAAGCAGGAGCTAACTGCAGGCCCTTTATCATGTGGGGAGGGCTGGGGCCCCGCTTTGCAGAATGGAGACTTAAAGTGAGTTGCTTAAGGGTGGGGGTCTATCTCGTGTCTTTAGTGTTGCTAGGGGCCCAATCTCCTTAGCAACCAGGGCCCTAGAAAGGCAGACCCATGGGTATCTATCCCAGCAGAGACCTGGTATGGTTTAGGCCCCGCTGCTGTGGCTCCCTTACTCTCTCGCTGGGACCTGGGTCCCTCTGGACCTCAGTGTCCTCCCCCTTTCCTCCCGCAGGACGAGAAATATTGGAGCCGCCGGTACAAGAACAACGAGGCAGCCAAGCGGTCCCGGGACGCCCGGCGGCTCAAGGAGAACCAGATATCGGTGCGGGCGGCCTTCCTGGAGAAGGAGAACGCCCTGCTGCGGCAGGAAGTGGTGGCTGTGCGCCAGGAGCTGTCCCACTACCGCGCCGTGCTGTCTCGATACCAGGCCCAACACGGGGCCCTGTGAGGCTGCCCCACATCCCCACCTGGCGGAGCTCTCCTCCGCCTTGCTGAGACTTACGCCCTGTTCCCTCCCTGCCCTGTGGCCCACGGGCCGGCCAGCTGGGTGCCCCAGGGACGTGATAATGCAGATAAATACATTTATATTTTTAAGAAAAAGCGAACCTCCCCCCTCCCTTGCGGGGGCGGGGAGGGTCCTCTGTGTGTCCCCGGCACGTCAGGGACCCCATCCTCCCACCGCCTCCGTTAACACGATCCTGAATAAATCTTGAGAACCCCAGAGCCAGCTGTTGTGGAAGAGGAGGGCAGCTCCCTGGCATACTGGCTACAGCCCGTGGGCAGCTCCGGGCTGCCGTCCATAGAGGGCAGGCGCTGCTGGAAGTGCTGGAGTCTGAGTCCTCCCGCGGGCTGTCGGATGGAGGAAGGGCAGAAGGTCTGAGAGGAAGGAAGCGACTGCCTTTATTGCATAGACCTTTTCAATTGCTTTTTAGATTGGGGACGGAGGACGCGCATGAGACGAACAGGGGATATGAATTTCCCCGCCCCCACCCGCGGGGGGGAGGAATATTAGTGCAAATCCTAGCGCCGGCCCCGGGGAACCTGCCCCTCCTGGGCTGATTGGCCAGCTAAATGGAGGCACCGGAGTGGATGGGGCGAGGCTGCGGGCCCTGACGGGCCGAATCATTGAGGCCTACCCCAGCCAGTACATTCCAGGTCCTGTCATTGGGCGACGCGTAAAACAGGCTCCGCCCTCAGCCAGCCTGGCCGGGTAGGAGCAGGTGGCTAGCTTCAGGACTAAGCCCTGCCCCTTAAGGGCGTCCCGAGATCAGACGCCAGGCCCCGCCCTCATTGATCAGGCACTACCCTCGTGACGACGCCCACTCTCCAGCATCACGTCTGGTCCCATGAAGGCGGGCGCAATCCTGAGACGGGGCCAGGGCCCTTGCACTTACGGGCTGCCACCACAACTCTAGCAGCCAGGCCACACCCCTAGCTCAGGCTCCGCCCCATTGGAATGTAGGCCCCGCCCCCGGCGGGTTCCAACCTTGTTGAGTTTCAGGGCTCCCGCCCTGGGCAGCCAAGAGGCCCGGTGAGCAGTGTACCGAGGCCAGGGTGCATCTGTGCCTGTAGCGGCCCATACTCCACCTGCTCCCCGTCCACCGTGAGCACGCCGCGCGGCGTGAGCGGCTCTAGGCGGAAGGCACGGGCCGCGGCGTAGCCCAGCTGCGGACAGCCCAGGCTGAACTGGCTACCACGCTCCATGGCCAGGAAAAGGCGTAGCAGCGCAGCCCGCGAGATGCCGCTACGCACCCAGCACAGGTGCACCAGGCCGTCGTCGAAGCGCGCGTGCGGAGCTGCCACCAGGTCAGCGCCTAGGTGGCTGGGCGATATGGCCAACATGAGCACAAAGTCCCCCTCCAGCGTCACCCAGTCTGGGGGCAGTGGGGTGCCCAGCGGAGGCAGCAGGTGGTCAGGCAGGCCGCAGGTGGAGGCCGCTACCCGGGCATTAGGGGTGGGCGGTGGGAGCCCAGAAGATGGGGGAATTACAGGGGCCCCCTCAGCGAAGGGTGAGTGTAGAGCTGTCTTGGGAGAGCCAGGAGGTGAAGACAGCAGTGGGTCCGGGGACAGTGGAGCATCCCCAGCCCCACCCCAGTCCCCAGCCAGCTCTGGGCCCCCACCGTTGAGGGACAGGACGGGCAGGGGTTCTGGTGAGCCAGGGGAGGCCAGGGCAGGTTGGGGCAGGGGCAGGGGCAGGTCAGACACAGAACGATGCAGGGGTGAGTGGGCCATGGGCGGGGCTGGGTCTGGGGTTAGGGTCAGCTCCGACTTAGCACGGGGCAGGCTATGGACAGGGGTGGGCAAGGTGGGTTCCACAGTGGCGGGGAGGTAGGAGAGGCGTCCGCGGTAGGTGTGCAGTGTGGCGAGGCCCAGCACCGTGCCCAGTGTGAAGCGGGCACTGCCCAAGGCCCTGAAGCGCTCGCTCTGGATATCCACATCTGACACGAAGCCCCAGGCCACAGACAGGAAGGAGAAACAGCGGGAGCCCGAGGCCAGCGTCACGGAGAGCAGGTCCAGTGGGTGGCTGCCACCCCGGCAGAGCAACAGTGAGCAGTTGAGCAGCAGGTCGAGGCCCAGGGCTGGCTCAAATCTTCACCGCCAGAGATGGACAGACACACAGAAGGAGTAAATAGGGGTAGGGGAAAGAGACAGGCAGGGAAGCAGGTGGCAATGAGGCCAGGAAGGCCATGGCCCAGGCCCACCACAGCCGTGGGGCCACCTCTAGGCAATTCCTTACGGGGCCAGGTTCCCGGTCATCTCTTTCATTTGCTCCCTACAATTCACTGAGTGCCTCCCATGCCAGGCAGAGTTCTGGGCACTAGGGATACAGCTGGGAGCCAGGCAGGCTGATTTACTTGACTGACTGTGGGTTTGCCTGAGTGAGAGATATAGGGGTCCCTATCACCCCAGGAGGGGCTCATCCCTCCCTTGGTGGTATTCTCAACGTACCCCCCGTGCTGGTTCACTGCTCCGGCCAGCGCATTGCCCGAGCCACAGGGGAGGATACCCACAGGCATCTTCACAGCTTCCTCCCAGTCAGGGCGATCTAGGAGCCCGTTCAGCACCTGGAAGGTGGGAGACCAGAAGCCTGGGTCCTGGTGGCAGCCTCTGCAGTGCCCCAGGGCCCAGGGTTAGGGGCAGGGTGCTCCTGCTCTACCTCATGGAGCAGCCCGTCTCCCGAGACCGTGACGATGCCATCCCACTCACTCAGGCTCAGCCCCTGGACCAGCTCCCGAGCGTGGTTCTGTCGTTCTGAAGTGGGATACCGGGCCGTTAGGAAGGCTGTCCCACCCCAGCCCCATAGCCCCAGGAGTCCCACCCACCACTTTGCTCCCTTAGGACTCAGTTGTCCCAGCCCCCAGCTCCCATTCTCACTGGCCCTTACCTGTCTGGATGAGGTTGAAGGACAGCCCAGCTTCAGAAATCATGGGAAGCACGTAGTTCTTACACCACTGCCAGGCCAAGCCCCGCCCCCCAAAGGGATTGACCAATAGGAGCAACCTGGGCGGCCGAGGTAGCAGGTCAGGGGTGATCTCTGTGGAGAGAGGTTAGGGTTTGCAGAGACCAGCGACCCAGGGCCCCCACCTTGGAAACAGTCCCTTCAAACAGCCCCCTACAGAATTGGTGGAGGGCTAGCACCTGGCACCTGCTGGCTCTCATCTGGCCAGGCCTAGGTATGCAGCCCTGCCCCACCACCCAGGTGCTGAGACAAAGGCAGAGCTTAGGTGTGAAACCAAATGCCCTTTGTCCCCACTTGTGGGAAGAGGGCACGAGAGCTGTAGTTCGGAGCTGTGGTTCCCACTTTCCTCACCCCGAACACCTATCACCCAGGATCAGTTTACTTCCAGCCCTTAGGGGCCCCAGGCAGGATTAGATGCCACCTCTGAACTCCAGGGAAGCCCTAGGAGACCTCTGTTGGCACCCATCACTCTGGGTGGTGCCTGGTCCTGTCTCAGGCTGCTGCTCTCACCAGCCTGGGTGACTCATCTGTGGTCAAGACCCATGCAAAGGGGAAGAGGGCAGGAGACAGAAACATAAATCTAGCAAGAGAACAGCAGATATAAATCACTTCTCTGTCTGCCTTTTTGTTCTGTTTTTTGTGACAGACTTTCGCTCTTGTTGCCCAGGCTGGAGTGCAATGGTGTGATCTCGGTTCACTGTAACCTCTGCCTCCCAGATTCAAGTGATTCTCCTGCCTCAGCCTCCCAAATAGCTGAAATTACAGGTATCCGTCACCACGCCCAGCTAATTTTTGTATTTTTAGTAGAGACGGGGTTTCACCATGTTGGCCAGGCTGGTCTCAAACTCCCGACCTCAGGTGATCCACCTGCCTCGGCCTCCCAAAGTGCTGGGATTATAGACGTGAGCCACTGCACCCGACCTCTGCCTGTGCTTTTTTTTTTTTTTTCTTTTGAGACAGAGTTTTGCTCTTGTTGCCCAAGCTGGAGTGCAATGGCACAATCTTGGCTCACTGCAACCTCCGCCTCCTAAGTTCAAGCAATTCTCCTGCCTCACCCTCCTATAGCTGGGATTACAGGTGTGTGGCATCACACCCAGCTAATTTTTTATATTTTCAGTAGAAATGGGGTTTCACCATGTTAGCCAGGCTGGTCTCAAACTCCTGACCTCAGGTGATCCGCCCGCCTCAACTTCCCAAAGTGCTGGGATTACAGGCATGAGCCACACACCCGGCCCTCTGTCTTTTTGTTCCTTTTGTAGCCCATCTCTGTGTATCACTCCTAATGGATCCAGAGAGATACATCACCCAGACACAGAAAAATAGACACAGCTGCCTATGGAGGAAATTCTGCAGAGACACCAAGGTGGCCCCAGGACAGAGCAGCTGCCCAGCGCCTCACCCCCATCCCCGGGCAGCGGCAGTCCTCGGAGCAGACAGGTGAGGGCGGTGGCCCAGCGCTGGGCCTCAGCACGGTTCTCTTCGTAGGTGGTAGCCCCATCTGTCCGGAAGGTGCGGGTGGTTCTGCGCCGGCTCCCGCGCCGGCTCCGGGGGTAGGTGTAGATGCAGAAGTAGGCTGCTGAGTCTGAGGGGCTACGGCTTCGCAGGGTGCAGCAGCCTGAGACCTCAGCCAACGGGACCAGGCCACCCCGGGGCCTGGCTTCGGGTTTGGGGCGCAGCCGCTGTATGTGCAGGGCCTGCGACGTGAGGGTGAGGGCAAAGCGTGGGCCTCGGGCTGGGTAGGAGCCAAACTCGCCATGGAGGAGCGGGGTGCTGGCAGCCAGTGGCGGTGGGGGTGGGGCCATGGTCTTAGCCCTGACCAGGGTGCTCCTAGGCCTGTGGCCCCAGCTCCTGGTCAGCTCCTGTTCCGGCCTCTGTGGAAAGGGAGGAGAGAAGGAGTAAGAGTTCAGGACCCCATGGCAGGGGCAGGGGCTGTGGACAGGAGGAGACAATGAGGGGCAGTGGCAGGTGAGACAGGAGCACCAGAGACAGACAGGCTCTGACAGGTGCGGGCAGACCTTGAGGATGCAGGGCAGAGGCCAGCTGGGCAGGAAGGCCAGCATCCTGGAGGGGGCCAGAGACCCGGGCATGCAAACATTCAATCATTTATTCCCCAGTACGTATTCAGTACCCTGTATGTGCC